GTAAAAATGCATGGAGGCAAAATGACTTTTTTTTTTGGCCTCCCCCCTGTATGCACGCGGCCTTAGCGATGTGGTGGTAAGCCCTCCAGCAACGTTGTTTTTCTTTATGAATGGGCCACAAGTTCTACTTCTACTTTGAATCGTAATGACAGCTAAGAGTGGGCTATGGCTTGTACAATTTCTTACGGGGATCAACTGATGTACGAGTCAGTATTTTGTCCTCCTAGCCGAGTATGGAATCAGGCGACCCCCATGAGTGAAGGATGATGTGAGCCCTTCCGAAATATGTCTTTGAGACCGCGCTCATTACACCAATTCAGTTCTAATGTGGTGACAAAGTAAAGGATAAAATCTTCGCCGTTGATAAATTCTTTTTTAAGATGCAGCGCGCATTTTCGAAGTCGTAGTGGCGTATGGAATGCGGTGTTGCCAGCACAATGACCTGCGTTAGCTAGCCGATGTTCCTCCCAGACGACTCTGGTACTAATTTACCGTCCCCGGAGGATAGAGGGCTAGACTGGTCTGGACGGGAGCCGATCCGGGATCTCACCCCCAAATGCCACTTGCCACGTGCCCCTCCTGATGGGGTGATACCATGGAAAATTTACGAAATCAGACAACGATGCAAAAATGCTGTAGCAGTAATCGACTCACGATCGCCGAAAAGCGTCAACTTGTTGAAGTATTGCTTGATGGCGGATTAGTGGTAAATTCATACTTCTTGCAGAGCTTCTGGTATTATTGAAGTTCCTAAAAACAGTGAAGCATTATCGAAGCTTTTCTCCGCTCTTCACTCTAATTTAGCAGTCTGCTATGCTAAGGTTAGTTTGAAATACGCTTAAGGCTTGTAGATCGTCATGCAATAGAATCTGGATAGAAGCAGATTCTTTTCTCCTGATTTTTTTTTGTCTTCTTTTGTGAGGTATTGGGAAGGATCACTTTGTATGAAAGTGTCTTGCGTGTATATTGAACTTCACCTCATTAGAACCAGCTGCTAATGTTTATAATGTTTTATTTAGCTGGAGGATTGGGACGAAGTCCTTAAATGTACTGAAGAATCGCTCCGTTTACATGCTGCTAATACGAAGGCACTGTTTCGACGAGCAGCAGCACTTTCTGCCCGCAATGATACCGAGGAGGCAATGGATTGCCTTAAAAGGGCACAGGAGATCGATCCTCACGATACAGTAACCTTTACTTTTTTAGAAGTGTTAAATTATTTATTTTCTATTAGCAATCTAACAGCAGGCTAAAAGTCATTGTTTTATTAAAAGCTTTAGCATGCTTTTAGTTTTTTTTTTTAATTTTCTGGCGGCTATGCGTCCAGTGAAACACCTCAGCTCTCATAAAATTTTGCCTGAAGAAGTAGCTTTCACAAGTTCCCGATGCACAAGCACCCAAATATTTTCTTGAAATTTCGGTCCCAGAATTTTGATATATGCGTGTGGAGATAACAGATAGAAATGAAATGGCAAACAATGTCATAAATCTTCATTGTTTGAGCGTCAGTAAACGCTTTTACTCATTTTAGAATCATGGCCGTAGCAGTGACCGGGGTGTACTGAATCGCCCCTAGCATTGTCCTTTTTTCATTTTTTCTAAAATCCTCTTTCTCAAATCACTGTTGGTGTTTTTCTTGCTGCATTTCTAACGTCTGTTCCTCGAAGGGATTCCAGCTCTATCTCCTTGTTATTCCTTTCCTTTTGCCTTCTACTTCCATGATCCTCGCGACCAATTTCATCCACCATTGGTCTTCATGGCCAATGGATCTTCCTATTCGCGTTTTTCTGATTTCTTTTACTGTTTGGTTGCCTCTGAAGTGAAAGCATGGGGTCTGCGATTGTGTTATACTAAACACGGGAACAATCTCCCGGCACGGCATCCGCACGGATTGACAAATTGGAAGTTCGAGGTTTTTGGTGGGACGATTTCTCAGTGTTTTCAGCTTGAAACCAAATGGTAACTCACCTCCAAGGACGGTTCTTGACATGTGCGAGGTGAATTTTACGCAGTTGTATCACGTGCCTTTTTCTCCGCTCAAAAAGGCGCAAGAATAGGGCTGTAGGGTTGTAGTACCCTAATGCCGTCTTCCACTCCGCGCTCGCGCTACCAATGTGGTGCATTTGCGTCGATACCAAGGTGCTTTAGCACAACAGGCACTCAGCGGTAGAGAACATCCATAACGTAAATGCGCATGAAGTAGTAGCGCATTTGAAGCGTGTGGATGACGTGCGGCAACGCGGGCGAACTATGGAGACGACACCCAGATATATCACACCAAGATGGGTAGGGTATGATGTGAGCGAGGTGATGAGTGAGAAGTGCGCCTAATTGGATGGGGCCGAAAACAACATTTTGAAATTTCCATAAGTCTGAGGAGGATAAAGGTGAGAAAGTCAGAGAGGGATGGAAGTGGAAATAAAAAATTCTTGATTTAGTTCTATAAAAGTGCGGAGAGGGTTAAAGGGGAGAAGATAGTAATTCGCCTGTACACCGTTTCTCGTGCTTTTTTGAACGGCGAAAGTGGAACGCTACTGCAGTCAGATTGCAGAATCGTGATTTGTGAAATGGCATTGTCAGTACGACCCACCCAACGACCCCGGAGAAAGATCCTGGTACAACCCCCCCCCTCTCCGGCTCTAATTGTTTGCTCTGACGAGAAGAATAAGATACGTAACGGCTCGAAAGCGCTTGTGGCCGCGTCAAGATTCCATGGCAAATTAGCGGTGGAGCAGATCTGCTGGCCGGAAGGAAATCGCGGGGGCTTTTCTCGAGGTGATAGCTTCTTTGGTTGTGGGGCTTTCGAGAAATGGAAGGGGGCATGTTGAAGCAATGTCTCTACTGTTGCGTTTTCCACCTACTCACAATCTGGATCTTCCCCCGTTCACGAAATATTTTAGATCGGTTGCGGACGCGGTAGTGGTAAAGCGCGAGCGGATTCTTATGCTTCAGACGAGATAACTTCCTTCAGACGCGATCTTTTGCAAAACTAAAGACACCATCAGAACGCTCAATATCTCCTTTTTCCAACAAGCTCTACAGTTTTCCTGAAGAGCCGCTGTTTAGAAGATATTTCGGTGGGTCACCTTTGGGCGACATTCTGAGCCACTTAAAAGCTCGACTGCTTCTGTGCCATTGTAAGGATACTCACTCGCGAACTTAATATTTTCGAAATACATTATCATCGATCGATTCGCTCGGAGTGTGCGCCGTGCATTACGCTTCTACGCAGGGTTGGTCGAAAGGTGTAACTTCTGGGTTTAGGTGATTTTTGTCTATGCAAGCAGTTGTTAGTTCAACGTTTGACAAGGTGATACGCACAAATCTGTTTGAGATGTACTATTTAGTCATCTACGTACTTATGAGTTCATGCTAACTATTGATGCTAATCAGTTGTAATATTTCATAGTCTTCCTTACTCCGGGTCCTCTGCAGCTTTCCGTCGCTCCATCGAACTTAGCGATAACACTTTTCTGGTGGTTGCTCACCCCTTGCGTTTACGACCCCCCTCCCCAGCGGCCAAGTACGTCCTGATGAGTTTCGCACAACGATGCTGTGTCCTGACTTTAGCATTTGAACCTAAGTCCCACACAAATGCACTCATCAAGGTTCTGCCATAACTTCGGGAAAGCTTGTGTAACGTACGGATACGCTATTGTTTGATTTGATGGTTGATGGTCTATGGCCATTCACAGTGGGTGGAGCGCTCTGTTTTGTTCCGATTCTTAACGACGGAGGCTCTCGTGTGCTGAATAGTTGATGAGTTCACGAGTTCATCAAACATTCTTCAAGGGAATGAATCATTTCTCCAAAAACGCGTTTCGAGCATCCTCATCGGACGGGATTATCCGGCAGGGTGGATACATGTCGATCTCCACTTGTAAACTGTAAGTAGGCGAGAAGCAGTGAATTTCGTATGTTCGATTGATTTGTTGTAAAGCATCTCTTTCTTTGAAAACATCAGAGCGGTTGGTTATCGATATTAAATTACCGTTAATTTTGATGTTGGATGCAAAATTGTTCTTTCTCACTTCGCAATTCATATTTGGTGTTCGAATATTTTTTGTCTCACCAGGAAAGGTCAACAGGTCAGCCTGGCCATTTGCAATGAGATGCACATCACTGTACTCATCTTGACACGTGAACTCAGAACTGTCTTCAAAATTTGCAGAACGATTCTCTGAGCGGAGTTATGGAGGTTTTTCTTTACTGTTTTTCTTCTTACGGGCGCGCTGGCGCCGAAGCGTTGGCACATGTAGCGCGACTCACAGCGCTCTTCGCGCAAAACAGGTATCATATTCGTGTTCAGGGGGTCAAATAACCCCTAGGGACGTCACCTTAGCAAAATCTGAGCTTCTGACTCAACTTCGAAAAAATGGGTATGGCTGACTGATAGCTACAGCGATACTATGACTAGCATACTGGTGATGACTGGTCTTCGAACTGAAATAACTCTTCAGTCATGTCTTTTCGCAAACAAGTACCTGGCTTACTTATTTGTGCCGTCTGCATCATTTTCTGATTACCTGGAAGAAATTCCATCCCGAGACCAGTCATCGATGGTGGGTGAGGTTGTGTCTGCTGCTAATTACCCATGGTAATTAGCAGTGCCCACAATTGCCCACATTTTCCAAGTGAGGTCGAAAAATCAGATTCGGCTAGAAACTTGTCCCCAGGGGTAATTTAACCCGCTGAACATGAATATGATGGTATTTCATTGCAAAAACCCTTGTGACACGTGTTACGAGGGGTACAAGCAGAAGCACTCTTTCAGGCCACAATGGGTCTACACTTTCGAAAAAAACTGATTGCAGGTTCCCTTATAGGGTAGTGCAGGCGAGCAGAGATGTTAGAATCGGCTATGTTCTTGGAACAAATGCAAAAAAAGGAACCTGCCCCGGAACCGATCCTACGACGTCTCGCCTAAGAAACCCGCTCCCTACCCGTTGCGCTCTGCTACCACGTTTCAGAACGACTCCATACATAAATGTAAAGACGCTTCCACCTCGCGATAGCATGTGAAACGACCATGCGGGGATAAAACCCTCCATAACTCCGTTCAGAGAATCGTTCTGCAAATTTTGAAGACAGTTCTGAGTTCACCGTCCCAAGACGCGTACAACGGTGTGCAGCTCATTGGAAATGGCCGGGCTGACCTGTTGACCTTTCCTGGTGAGCTCACCGTCGCAAGACGCGTACAACCGTGTGCAGCTCATTGGAAATGGCCGAGTTGACCTGATGACCTTTCCTGGTTAGATGAAAACATTTGTTATTCTGTTCAGGTGGTTCAGTGTGAAATCGAAAGATTGACTGGAATTCGTCGACGTCGTCGTGCCGAAGAAAAAGCACTATACCGTAGAATGCTTGTAGGAGCAGGTGACGTCAATACAACAAGTCGCCGTTTTGACTTTGTCACATATCGCCTTATTGCAATTGGAGCTTTTTCACTGGTCACATTCGCCTTGTTCGTCTTCTTCCTTTTCCAACTATGGAGCTTACCTGGCGAGCAAGAGCTCTGAAGGACATCATACAAAGGTTGACCTTAATACCGGTAATGCACATTCGCCCCCCCCTGTATTACATTGTTCCCGCTTTTGTTGCTTTCTTAAATATTAGTCATTAGATTTCTGAATAGTATGCATACACTCTGTATGATGATTCTATGATGATTGTGTCAATATGCCCGTTGAACGTAATTTTCTAAGTGATGATTCTGATATTGAAAAATACACACGAATAGTGTCATGGCGATATTGCCGATGTGTGGAGCCAATTCCATGTTCTGAGTATTAGAGTTTTATTTTCCCCCTCATGTACAAATCGATTAGCGTATCTCGTTGAATTTCACTTCTTTCACTTCTATCGGTCACTCTTTTTGTTTCTTCCAGCTAGCTTCAACAACAAAGAAAAAATTGGTTGCAGCTCAGTTCTCATAGGAAAAGAAAGCACGAGAACAAATGTTTTAGTGTTAGCGTTCTAATCGCTCAATCTCCTACTTAGGGATCCCTTGTTTGACGTCATTCAGTCATAAATGTTCATTTATGTGGAATTCCTCAACACACATAGTTGTCGTTCAGTAAACGTTTACAAAGAAAATGAGTGAGAAACCGTTTTCAGAAAGGTGATTGAAAATGATAAAAGTTGTGAATGAAAGTAGAAGTGGGTGCAGAGGACATGAAGACGACCCGATAGCTGGAGCACTCCATTCTTGAAGGATCCTCAATGGGGTGTCACGAGAAGGTCGAATAGGTCT